TCAGCTCCCCCAAAGGAAAATGAACCGTACCCCTTTCTCCTTCCCTCCCCTCCCTTCCCCCGCTCCAAACCCAAACCCGATTCCAGAGAAGGCAGAGGAAAGAAGGAGATAAATGACCCCCAGTGGGGGGGAGAGAGGGAAGGAAGTCTTGGGGGAAAAGTTGGGGTGGGCAGTTTGGGGAGAGAGAGTGAGGTGCATGCCCCCTACTCCCCAAACAAACTAGCCCTGGTTGCTTACATATTTCCCCTGAAGGAGGCAAAAAGAGGCATGAGAGGCTGTCGGGTCCCTGACAGGGGTCAAGGACTAGGTGAGAGAAAGAGAAAGAAAGAGAAAGAGAAAGAGAGAGAGAGAAAGAGAAAGACACACAGAGAGACAGAAAGAAAGAGACAGACAGAGAGAAGAGTCCGGACCTCAGAGAGAAGCCCCTCCGCGGGGTTGTCGGGAGGGCAGAAGAGCCCGTGGCTGGCACAGGGGGACTGCCCCCAACCTGGCAGGGGGCACCAGGGTTGATTGAAGGGAAAGAGGAGAGGAAGGAGAAGGTGGGGGCTGGGCGGGACAGGGCGGGGCAGAGGAGGGAGCAGGGAGAGAGGGGCGGGGAGGAGGGGGGGGTCACATTAAGTATAGGCACGGGGAGAACAAAATGTGAGTTAGGGGTTAGCATTGGTAACAGTGCGTTTACCTTTCTGCTCCACTTCTACTTTAAGCATCGGAAGAGAGAGAGAAAAACAATTGAAAAAGGGTGCAAGAAAAAAAGAGAAAAAAAAAGAGATTAAATTGCTTTTTGTTTCTTTTCTGGCAATGCATCCCCTTCTCCTTTTCCTTCCTCACACCTGCTTCCCCAACCCCTTAGCACCGCTCGGCCGCCCCCTCCTCCCCCCAAATCCCTTCTATTGGGGCAAGTGGAGGGGGCTGGGGGAGTGTCTAGAGAGACAGACACAGAGAGACTTGGCTAGAGGGAGACAGAGGGCCCGATGACAGGGACAGGCACAGAGAAGGAGGGAGACAGGGAGAAGGAGAAACACCGAGGCAATTCAGAGCAAAGGGAGCAGAGACAAAGAGACAGAAGGAAGCAAGGAAGAGAGACACGGAGAGACGACAGAGGGAGACCGGGAGCTGTGAGTGCCAGCTGCAAGGCTGCTGCTTCACACTGAACCCTCAGCTGAAGTGTCTGGGCTGCCTTCCTAAAAGAGAAGCTGGAAAACCGAGCCTGGATGGGGCGAGCCGAGAGGGTTGTGAGGAAGGGCCGTTGGCCAGGGCTCCTTGGCCCGCTATTGGCACCCTCTCCTTTCTCTGGGGCCCAGGGAGGAACAGGGACCATTGTTCCTGATGGCTCAGGTCCCCAACTCAAGGTGATCAAGCTCTCACTTCCTATGCCCCCTCACTCAAAGCCCTGCAGAATTTAAGTAACCCATTCTAATCCAGGGAGAATAAACACAGGAAGAGAAAATCAAACAGAGAGACACAGATAGCAAAAATAGCACAATAATAATAATAATAATAACTCACATTTATATAGTGTTTGAAAGTTTGTAAAGTGGTCACACACACACACACACACACACAAAGAGATGAAAAAAGATGGAGAGGAAAATACACACGGAGATCCAGAGTGGGTCAGTTATACACAGAAAGGGACAGAGATGGAGGGAGAGACAGATGGAGAGAAACAAAATGCCAGAGATAAGGTGACAGACTGATGGAGAGACACAGTGGGGTCTGGGGGAAGAGGAGGGAGGGGCCAGGGGTGGTAACAGACACTCTCCCTGCCAGGGTGACTAAAACTCCGATTTCCCTAGCCAGGCTGGCCTAACCAAGGAGCTGGGTGCTCCACACGCACACACCTGCCCGTGGCCCAGCAGGCACCTAGGGGAGGAAGGGGGGTGAGGGGGTTAGACTGCACTCAGCTGCAAAGCAAAGTGGCTGTTAGTTGGGCGTGTTCCATGGGGTCCCTCCCCCTTCCCCCAGCCTCCACCCGCAGCCCACCCCAGACCTCCTTGAGAGGCCTCCACAGCAGCACTGGGGTCCCCATCTCTGCTACCAGGGGAAGGCCTGCCTCTCCTCTCTGGCCTCCTTCCTAGCTGCTGTTCTCTCCTCTTTGAACAATTCTTGGAGCGTCCCCTAGGGTGGTCTCCTTGTTCTGTCTCCCTAAGGAAGCTACAAGTGGGATTTGAACAGACCTCCCTGGTCACGTGGGCCCGGAGCCTCCCGGTTCCTCTCAGCCCTTCTGTCTTTCCTCAGGTCTAACTTTGTCGTTCCTACTACTATCTAACTCCAGCTTGTGTCTTGTTCCAGCTCTGAGTGCAGGAAGAACTTACATCCTTCCCGACTCTGCTTTGAGCCGAGGCTGTTCACGGTCAGCACCTAAGGACTTCACTTGCACCTACTCTAAGTCTCTGATGGGCCCTTCTGATAGCTCTGTATGTGTACTCTGTTTTCTCATTAGACCTTGGAACATTCAAGGATGAATCAGACCAGGGACTCCTTGTGAGTGGGGATTAGCCCTACCTATCTTATGTGTGTTCCCCATGCCTAGGTCAGGACTCTGCACGGAACACTCTCAATCCATTACTTATTCCATCTCTTACTTGGCCTGTCTCTAAGCTCTTCCCTCATTCGTCTCAACTTGTGGAGCTCAGAGCCAGACCTAGAGGTCCAATATCCCAACTACACAGAATTTAATGCGAGCTAATATGACTCCAAGACCCTTTAACTTTATTCTTGCCTCTTCACGTTGCCTCATAGAGTCCACTTTGACCCTGGGATCTTTGTTGGCCTGTTTTCTTGCCTGGGTAACTGGGGTATAATGATATGTGCGCTGTCTTTTCAGTGATTTATACACTGTTTTCTATCTATATTCCCAGCTATCCCAACATCAGTGGGTGAGTTGGAGGTGGGGGCAGGGATGGGGAGAGATTGCCCCCAGTGCTGTGTGGGGGGGAGGGCTTCAACGAGGAGAGAGGGACTTTCCCCTTAGGTGGTAGCTGGATGGAGGCCTTGGGTGCTGAAAGGAAAGGATGAGGAGTCAAAGGAGAAAGTTAAGGAAGCACATTAGCGGTTTCCCCCAGCATGGACGGCTACCTGTGAGAAGAAATTAAAGTGGGTGGGGATGAGGGGGTGGGGAGGGAATTACCAGGGCCTCCTGCTCCCCCTGCCCTTCCCCAACCCCCAAAACATATATACTGGGGGCCCTCACTTCTCCCTTTCCACCTCCCCCCAAGTCCTTGCTTCCAAATTGGCTATAAGAAGCTGGGGGTGGGCATAAGGGTGAGGAGGGAAGGAAAGAAGGGGAGCAGGAAAGAAGGGAAATGATGGTGGTGGGGGAAGGGAGAGTAACCGAGGAGGAGAAGAAACCCTTTCCCTAGCTCCCTGGCTGTTCCCCTTGGCAGGGTGGGTTACAGCTGAGCTCCGGGCTCCTTAAAATTCCTCCTTGTGGCCTCCAGGGGTTCTCCAATAGCCACTCCCAATTAAAAATGGTAGAACTTCCTAAGTAAACAGGAAGTAGTGCTGTGCAGATGGAAAGGCAGACTGAAAGGAGCAGTGAATCTCCTTGAAGATGTCTTGGCCTCAATCACCCCCTGGGGTTTGGTATCAGCCATCCCCTCTGGCCCAAGAGCCTAGAGGCGTTGGCAGGCAGTTCCTGTAATGTGGGAGAACCAGAGGGATAAGGACACAAAGATCAAATTCTGGGGCCACAAGAGTGTGACTGTGTGAGAGAGATGAATGTGAGGGTGCCAGGAAGAGCAGATGAAGGTGTAATGGAGGATAGGATTATGTGAGAAAGAAGAGGAGAAGGTAGGAGGGGAAGACCAGGAGGTGGAGATGGGGTGGGAGCATTCTAGGGAGAGAGAACAAGAGTGAGAGATGGAGTGAGGGAGAGGCGACAGGGAAAAGTATGAAGATGTGAGGAAGAGGCCATGGGTGACAGAGGGAGTGTGACAATATTTGAGGGCGGAGAGTGTGAGGGTCCCAGGGCGAGAAAGTAGGAAGAGACAAAGCCTGTCCCAGAGTGCCCTGTGCCTCCTTCCTTGCTCCCACCCAGGCTCCATGGGGCACAGGTGTCTCCTCCTCACTCGGTGCAGGGGGAGAGGATAGGGCCCGTGTCCGTGCGAGGAACAAGGTGACTCACTGTAGGGGACACAGTCGTACTGCACCTCCAGGTACTTGTAGGTCCCAGGACAAGGGTCTGGGAAGGCATCAGAACCGGCCACCACCACGCACTGCGTTCTGTTGTTACACCTGTGGAGAGACAGAAGGCCATGATGGGGGGCAGGATAGAGAAGGGCAAGCTCCCCTAGTCTTTTGGCCTTAGGTGACCCCTTATCACGGAAGGAAATGGGAGGACATTCCAAGGAGAGGGCTAGGACCCAAGTGGTGGGTGAAGCCTGGACAGAGGTGGGAGGGGAGAGGACTGAGGCAGGGTAAGACCCTTGACTTTTAAACCTTGAGTCAGATACACTCCCTGCCTCTGCTTCAAATGGATCATTGAATGTGTAAATCTCATCTCCCCTATCAGTATGTGTGATTTTGAGGTGGCCACATTCATAAGATTATTTCTATATTTTCAAGGTTTTCAATGTATCTGTTTACCTTTTGCTAATAACAAGAAAGAGATTCTCAGCTCTTTGTGCAAAGGGCTAACCTTGCAAGGCTAGCCACCTAGGGCTTCAGGGTGCCCAAGGCCCAGGTGGATCTTTCCATAGTGAAAATAGCAGAGCTGCTCCCAGGCTTGGGAGAAGGCTAGGCCAGAGGAGAAATGGGAGGTGACTTCCTGGTCCCTTTTATCACCTTTCCAAAGAGATGACTGAAATTCACTCTTCAGGAAGAGGTTTGGGGGCAAACTCACTGAATGATGGGGTCTGTAGCATCCCACAGAGTCAGGTGAGGGGAGCAGTGTGTAGCCATGGACCATCTTTCCTGGCTAATACCTGCGCTCAGCATTGGGGTTTCAGAAGAAGTTTGTTAAACTTTATGGTTTGTTTATTGATGTAAATTATTGCTGTCTTTTAAAAATAAAATGAAAAAGTTTCAGAACATCTACAAAAACAAGCAAACAAAGAAACTTGCAAGCTTCCTGTAATTTGGAGCATGGTACGCTAGGGAAAAAAAATACTGAACTTGGAATAAAGATAGACCTGAGTTCGAATCCTGGCTCTGACACTGCTGAGCTGTGTGACCATGGGATGGTCAATTAACCTCTTTGAGCTTCTTCCTCATCTATGAAATGGGGAAAATAACTTGAAGTCTTGGTCTCTAAGAGTTGTTGTGAGAAAAGTGATCTGCAAACTTTAAAGGGCTAGAGAAATGTGAGGGGTTATTAATACTTAGGCAGCACAGTGGATAGAGGCCTGGGCCTGGAGTCAGGAAAACCTGGTTTAAATCTGGCATCAGATACATACTAGCTGTGTGACCCTGTGCAAGTCACTTCACCTGTGTTTGCCTCAGTTTCTTCATCTGTAGAATGGGGATAATATCAATACCTGCCTCCCAGGGTTTTCGTGAGGCTCAAATGATACAATAATTGTAAAGTGTTTAGCACAGTGCCTGGCACATGGCAAGTGCTACAGAAAGTTATTTATTATTATAGAAAGTTATAAATTATATTTATATATTTATTATATATTATATATTATATTTGTATTATATTATGCAATATATTGTATTATGTATTTCTATATTACAGAGAGTTATATGTTATTAAGAAAGGTAGTTATTATTATGATTATTGCTAATACTAATCATGTTGGGACCCTCTCCCTCCCTCCCCCTCTTGCCCCAGCATAGCCAAGCAGAGGACTGAGCACAGAATTGGTGTCAGTAAAGGTTTGTTTGCTTGATTACATTCAGCATTCATTTATTCATTTGTTTTTAGATCCAGAGAATGATACTCATTTATTCATTCATTTGACAAGCTGTTTTTGAATACTTATCCTGTGGACATACACCCTGACCTCAAGGAGCTTGCTGTTTACTCAGAGGAGGGTACATACGCACTAAGATACTGATGGGGGAGATAGAAACGAGTCCAAGTCAGGAAAATAATTAGGAATTAGGTGAAAAGAGACTAAACTGTTTATACCTTTTACCTAGAGTTTCATACTGGGCAAATAACCCAATGAGGTCAAGGACCCTCTAGGAGGGAAAAGAAGGGAAGGGAATAAGTATTTATTAAGCACCTACTATGTGCCGGTCACTGTGCTAAGTGCTTTTTACAAATATTATCTTACTTGATCCTTACAACAACCCTTTGAGGGAGGTGCTATTATTATCCCCATTTTATAGTTGAGGAAACTTAATGAACAGAGGTGAAGTGACTTTCCCAGGGTCACACAGCTAGTAAGTTTCCACCGCCAGATTTTTGAACTCAGGTCTTCCTGATTTAGGCCCAGTGCTCTATCTACTGCATCACCAGTTCCCTCCCTTTACAATAGACATAGCAGCCCTTGTTGGAATGAATGATTGAATAAAAGCATTAATTAAGCATCGACTGTGTGCAAAGCACTGTCACAGCAAAAATCAGGAAACGAAATGGATGCATATTTGGGATTTGACTGAAAAAAGCCACTGTATGTGGACAGCATTATAAAAAATGATAACTATGATTGAGGGAATTCAGAGAAACATGGGAAGATTTGCATGAACTGATACAGAGTGAAGTAAGCAGATTCAGGAGAATAGCACAAGACTGAGACACCGTAAAGGAGAAGAATGGTCAAGGGAAACAGAACCTTGAGTAATTGTCATGACCAATGCTGGTACCATGAAAAGATGAACGGTGGTATCACCTTCCTTTCATAGAGAGGTGGGGGACTACAGAGATGGGACGTTGCTTATACTGTCAGATGTGGTCACTGTGTCAGTTGGTTTTGCTTTGATGTTTTTCTTTCTACAAGGCTTCCCTGGGGATAGTTGTGATATAGGAGAAAAAAGACAAAAGGTGCTGATAAAACTTTTATTTTAAATTTTTATTTTATTTGTTTTAGTGCATGATGGAACAAGAGACAGATTCTAACCTGAAAGATTCTAACTGGCAGCAAGGATGCATCAGGAATGGGTAGAGCACTGGCCCGGGAATCAGGAGGACCTGAGTTCAAATCTAACCTCAGACACTTACTAGTTACGTGACCCTGGACAAGTCACTTAACCCTGATTGCCTCTTAGGGGAAAAAAAAAAAAAAAAGAAGGTGTAACATATAAATCAGCACTGGAGTTGGGCCATGAAAGGCAAAGGTTTCTGCAAAAGAGAGATATGGAGAGTCCACTGCAGTCTGTGCAAATTCACAGAGGTAGGAGGTCAGGACAAGATTAGGTACTAGCTGGACGTCTGTTTCCACCAGAACAAAGATGAAATAAAGAGGGTGGCAGGTAATGAGAAATAAGGCTGGCAAGAAAGGCTGGAGCTAGACAAGGGTCCTCGAGTTGCTTATGGATAGGGTGTGCTGGTAAATATTTAACAACCATCTCTCTGGAAAAAAATGTATGTAGGACACATTTTTTAAGTTTAATCTGCATTATTCACACTTTCTTAAGTCTAGACAATCATCAAAACAATAAATCAAGGCCCGATTTGTTGCATTTGCCGATTTTTGAGGTATAAATGCTCACATTGAAAACTGAACAATGGTATTCTCCCGTTTTAGCTGGCTCCGGCACCCCCTGGTTATGGATTAGACATGGAGCAGTGACTTGTGCATAAAGTTATTAGAGAATATGTCAATCAGAGCATGGAGCTCAATCCCACAGTGCAACAGGACTGCTTCAGCAGGAAATGAGCTCCCCATCGCTGAGGGGTCTTTTAACAGAAATGTGACTATTTTTCTGACATGTTGTAGTGGGGGCTTCCATCCTGATCTGGTAGGAACTCGCCTGATTGCTCAAGCGCTTCTCAGACGATTTTACCGGGTCTTCATCCATAACACATCCCCTAACTGTGAATGTTGCCCAAGATTCTATCCTGAGCCCTTTTCTCTTGGTTTGCCCTCTCACTGAGGGACCTCATCAGCTCCCATTGGGTTAATTATCACCTCTATGAGAATGATTCCCAGATTTAGATACCCAGCCCTCATCTCTCTCCTGAGCTCCAATCCCAAATCATCCGCTGCTTATTAGACATTTTGAATTGGATGTCCATGGGCATGCTAAACTCAAGAGGTTCAGAGCAGAATTCGTTATCCTTTCCCCAAAAACCCCCACTTGAAATAAGATATTTGATCAAATGAGATAATATTTGTCAAGCGCTTAGCCCAGTGCCTGGCACACAGTAGGTGCTTAATAGATACTCATTCTCTTCCTCCTCTTTACTCTCATGCTGAACTTCCCTATTTCTCCCAAGGATACAACTATTCTTCCAGGCACTCTGGTTCACAGACTCTATCATCCTTAACTTCTCTCTCTCTCAGCAGTTAGATGATGGATAGAGTGCTAAGCCTGGAGCTGGAAGATCAGAGTTCAAACCTGGCCCCAAGATGCTTATTAGCTCTGTGACTTTGTGCAAGTCACTTAACCTCTGTTTGCCTAGAAGGGAAGTAAGTGGCTCAGGGGATAGAGTGCTGCGAGTGGAGTCAGGAAGACCTGAGTTCAAATGTGGCCCTAGACCAGGGGTGGGGAAGCTGTGGCCTCAAAGCCACACGTGGCCCTCTAGGTCCTCAAGTGTGGCCCTTTGACTGAATCCAAACTTCATAAGACAAATTTCAAATCAAAGGGCTGTGCTTGAGGACCTAGAGGGCCACGTCTGACCTTGAGGCCGCAGGTTCCCCACCCCTGCCCTAGACACTTACTAGCTGTGTGATCCTGGGCAAATCACTTAACCCTGTTTGCTCAGTGTCTCCATCTGTAAAATGAGCTGGTGAGGGAAATGGCAAGCCAGTTCAGGATCTTTGCCAAAAAAAACCCCAGATTGGGTCACGAAGAGTCGGATGTGAATGAACAACACAATTTATCCTGTATGTAGCCTGTTCATATACATTTGTTTGCATGCTGTTTTTCCCACTAGATTGTGAGCTCCTTGAGATTAAGACTGTCTTTTGCCTTTCATTGTATTCAAGGCACATAGTAGGTGCTTAATAAATGCTTATTGACCGACCTCTCCTGGACTACCGCAGTAGCTTTCCATGCAGCCTCCTTGCCTTAAGACCCTCCTTGCTCAAATCCATCCTCCACATAGCTGCCAAAGTGGTTTTTCTAATGCACAGTAAATCTGACCATGTCGCTCCCCTGCTCACAAAGCTTCGGTGGCTCCCTATTACCTCCAGGATCAACTATAAACTCTTCTGCTTGGCACTGGCTTTTAAGTCCTTTACAACCATGCTCCAACCTCACTCTCCTTTATACGTTGTACAGTCCAGCCCAAACAGACTTCTCACTGCTCCTGGTAAACGAACAACCCTCTACTCTCTGCGATAATGCAGTGGCTGGACCCGCGTCTGACATGCACCGCGCTCCTCACCTCCGCTTCTTAGACTCCCTCATCTGCCTCAAGACCAGTTCAAGCACCACTTTCTGTTTGGTTTATTTATTTTTTATTTTTAGTGGTGAGGCCATTGGGGTTAAGTGACTCGCCCAGAGTCACACAGCTAGTCAGTGTTATGTGTCTGAGGTCACATTTGAACTCAGGGCCTCCTGACTCCAGGGCCGGTGCTCTCTCTACTGAGCTACCTAGCTGCCCCCAAGCACCACTTTCTGCATCCAGTCTTCTCCCCTCCCCTCAACTGCCTGGTCTCCCAGTTACCTTGTATCTATTTTGTGTGTAGACGTGTATTTCATTCTGTTTTTGTATCCTCAATGCTTAGTACAGTGCCAGGTACATAGTAGGTGGTTTATAAATATCTGTCGATCAATCAATTGGTTGGTTGGGCTAGGTCTTTGAGGGCCCTTACGGATGTGAGATTCTTTAATTCTCAGCTTCAGTGCTCTCCATCAGCAGGAGTCAGTCAGCCAGTCAATCCATTGTTCAGAAAGCACTAAGCTCTCCTGTGTGCCAGCCACTATGCTAAGCAATAAGAATATAAAAGGAGGCAAAAGACAGCGCCTATCCTCAAGGTCAGGCAACTTGGTGGCAAGGTGGATAGAGTGTCTGGGCCTGGAGTCAGGAAGACTCATCTTCCTGAGTTCAAATCTGTACACTTAGCAGTTGTGTGACCTTGGGCAAGTCATTTAATCCTGATTGCCTCAGTTTCCTCATCTGTAAAATGAGCTGGAGAAGGAAATGGCAAACCACTCCAGTCTCTTTGCTGCATTCAGTCATTTTTCAGTTGTGTCCAACTATTTGTGACCCCATTTGGGGTTTTCTGGGGTCACATAGAGTTGGACAGGACTGAAACAACTGAACAACTACTACTACTACAAAGTAGTAGAGAGTCAGTATGCAAACAGATCTATACAAACAAGCTATGCACAGGATAAATAGGAAATAATTAGCAGAAGGTAATAGGATTAAGAGGGATTGGGAAAGACTTCCTATAGATGGTGGGATTTTAGCTGGGATTTGAGGAAGCCGGGAAAGCCAGGAGGTAGACACAAGGAGGGAGGGCTATCAAAAGACAGAAAGAACAGTCAAGCCTCCTTCGCTAGAAAGTTTCTTGGGAGAAGTGGGAACTAAGCTAGGTAAGTAGGATTGGGGGAGCTAAAAAGAGGCTAATACATGCCCGGCAAGGGAATCCAGTAAGCAAAGGTGCTAAGGTGGGAGATGGGGCTGGCATGTGCTTGTAAGAAGAGTCCGTGGCCTCAGACACTTGACATTTACAAGCTGTGTGACCCTGGGCAAGTCACTTAACCCCGATTGCCTCACCAAAAAGCAAAAAGAGAAAAAGAAAAAAGTCCAGTGAGGCATGCAGCGAGTGGGATTGAGATTGTGGAGGGTCTTGAATGTAGGGCAGAGTTTGTATTAGAGTCAATTGAATTCAGATCAGTTTAATTCAACACTTATTAAGGGCCTACTCCATGCAAGGCACTGTGTTAGGCTCTGGGGATACAAAGATACGAAGGTTTCTCCACCTTCCTCACCCCCAAGGAACTTATGTCCAAAAAAGTGATACAAGACATACACAGAAATGTAAATGTGAAGTATACAGAGTATTTATAAAGTTGTACAATGTAATTTCAAGGGAGGAAGAGGGAAGAAGGAGGGAGAGAGAGAGATGCAAGAGAGAGGAGGGGGGAGAGAGAGAGAGAGAGAGAGAGACAGAGAGAGAGGAGGGGGGAGAGAGACAGAGAGACAGAAACAGAGACAGCGTCAGAGACAGAGAGAAAAGTAATGGTGGGGGAGGGGCAGGGTTGGGACTGAATCACAAAAGCCTCAGGTAACACTAAAGTTCTGCTTTCAAGGAACCCAGGGCTATTTTAAAAAGTGGAAATGAGGAAGGTTGGCCTTCCAAGTATGGGGGAGAGCCAGTATAAAAAGAGAGATGGAATGTCTTATATGGGTGAGGAACTACTAACAAGTCAGTCTGCCTAGAACGATAAGTGAATAAAGGGAAATAATATAAAATAAAACTGGAAAGATGGATGCCGATTTTGGAGAGCTTTAGATGCCAGCTTGATGATTTTTTAATGTGATCCTTGAGGCAATGGGGAGCCATGGAAACTTCTTGAGCATAGGAATGCCACCGTCAGACTTGTGTTTTTGGAATATTGATCCAATCACTGGAAGTAAGGAGACCAATTAGGAGGGCATTGCAATAGTCTAGGCGAGATGTGAGGAGGGCCTGGAGAAGGCTAGAAGCTATGTTAGTGGAGAAGAAGAGGACGGATGGGAGAACTGCTGTAATGGCAGAATTGCTCATCATTGGCATCGGATTAGATAGGGAAGGGAGGATGTGAGAGAGGGTAGAGGCAAGGATGAGTCCAAGGTTGAAAATCTGGGTCACTAGAAGGATGGTGGCGTTCTTAGCAAAAACAGGGAAATGTGGTGTAGAAATAGAATGAGTTCTGTTTTGAGCATGAATGTGAGATACGTACACTCTTGTGGGTTTGTCCAGTAAACAGTTGGTGGTGCAAGACTGGCATTTCGGATAAAGATCAGGGTTGGATATATAGATTTATGAGTCATCTGCACAGAGATGCTAATTAAACCCCTGGGGATCGATGAGATCACCGAGAGTACAAAGAGGGAGGCCGAGGGGTTCAGGTGTACCCTGTGATATTCCCACAATGCATTTGGCCACTTCTGAACTGGGAGGAGGTATGGTCAAAATGGTGTTTTTGGAACATTAACACCTAATACATTATATGCATTGCACTAGGTTTATGAATGAATAAAGGAAAGAAAAGATTAGCCCACTAGGATTTTGAAGGCTGGATTTTACTGGGGAGGCTCCAGCATCTGAGGGAAATTCTGGAACCTTCTCTCCCTTACCGGACCTCTGCAGTACTAGTGTCCTAAAAAGTCTTTTCAGCTTTACTCTCTGACCTCTGTAGCACGTGCTCTGCCTCATTTCTGGAATATTCTTCTTTATGAATAGATCTGGAAATATCACTCCTCAGCTCAAAAATCTTCAATGGCTCTCTATTGCCTCCACAATAAAGCTAGAACTCTTTTGCCCAGCAATCAGTCCTCTCCTCAGTTTGGTCCACTTTACCCTCTCCAGCCTTATCTCCCCTCCATGTACTCTATACTCTCACCAAACTGGACTGTTCTGAATGCTCCATTAAAATGCTTTTAATTCTGTTGTTTCCTACTCATGAAGTGTCGTTCCTCCTCCTTCCTCATTCAACCTATTAAGTTTCTGTCCATTCTGTAAAGTCCAGCTCATATATCACATCCTTTAGCACGCTTTCCCCAGTAAAAAAAAAAAAAAAAACAACAAAAAACAAAACAACACCTCCCCCTCATATATCCTCATATTATTGTTCAGTTGTTTTTCAGTTGTGTCCCACTCTTTGTGATCCCCTTTGGAGTTTTCTTGGCAGAGATGCTGCAGTGGGTTTGCCATTTTGTTCTCCAGCTCATTTTACAGATGAGGAAACTGAGGCAAATAGAGTTAAGTGACTTGCCCAAGGTCACATATCTTGTAAGTGTCTAGGGCCACATTTGAACTTAGGTATTGCTGACCCCATGCCTGGTGCTCCTTCCACTGAGCCCCCTAGTGGCCAACGCATCCCCATAGCAAGCTGTTTATCATCTCCTTAATGTATTCAAAATTAGCTGTGTTTGTGTCTTATCCCATACTAGACTACAGGATTCATGGTGGCAGGGACCACATATTATCTCAACACAGTATGTCCCCCAGTGGCAAGCATAGTACTCTGGACACTGTAGACACTTCTACATTTGTCTTGTTGAATGAATAAATAAATGAATGAGTTTGGAATGAATGACTTTCCCCCACCCCACCTCACCCCCAAATCCTAGCAGGTCCTCACCTCTGGGACATGATCTTGAAGGCATCGGGCAGGTAGCATTGCACATTCTCCATCTGGAAGGGGTCAGCATCACAAATCTTGTCATCTGTGCGCCCATAGTTGGCATTCTCCACCATGATGACATCGCTTCCCGGGCATCGGAGTTCGATGGGGTAGCCCTCACACGCCAGCTCCCGGCGCATCAGGCCAAAGGGGAGCCCGGCTCGGCTCAGGCCTGCCGGAGTTGGGGCAAAGGAAGAGAAACTCTTAGATCCGGAGGCCCCTTCCCTCCCCTATTATCAACCTCCAGGGCAGCAGCTCCTTTGGCTCAAGCTGCTCCCCCTCCCAGAGCTTCCCTGGTGCTTCACAAGGATAAGAGCTCGGGCCTCTTTCCACCCATATCAGACTGGGTTGCAATGGCTGGGAATGGTGGTGGTGGTGGTGGAGAGAGAAGATAATCATAGGCTCATCACTGGATTTAGAGCTGAAAGGGACCAGAAAGGGCATCTAGGTCAACCCCCTCATTTTACAGATTACGAATCTGAGCCCCATCAAAATTAGGTGACTTTCCCAAGATCACATAGGTCGTAAGTAGACTGAAATCCAGGTCCTCTGACCCGAAATCTCATGTCCTTTTTGTTGAGGCAGGAAGGAGACAGTCAAAACCCAAGAGTGAGGAATTCCCAGCTTCAACACTCGCTTAGCTGCATGACTCTGGGCATATCAGCTTTAGTTATCTGTGTATATGAATACATATACACACATATACATGAATATATAAATACACATTGCATATGTATATATGTATGTATATGTGTATATGTGTGTGTGTGTGTGTGTGTGTGTGTGACTCAGTACTCAATAGTCTCCACTCTTAGGACGTCACCAGGGTGTTGGGAGACAGATGAGGTAATGGATAGAAAATTGTGTTGAAAAGCATATAGCATCAGGCTGATACAAGATGTCACCCCTAGTGTTTGGAATAACTGGAATGTTAAGGAAAGAACCTTATAAGCCCTTGATTTTACAGATAAGGAAACTAAGGCCAGGGGGAAGGGATTTGAGTGCAGTCTGTTTCTGCAGGCCCAGCATCTAGGATGACCAATTCGATGGAAGGGCCTAGGCTGAAACAGCAGCATATGGAGTTCAGGTGAGACAGAAAAAGCAACAAGGAGATCAGAAGGAGGTGGGGGTGTCACAAAATCACAGAATGTTAGCGCTGGCAAGGACCTTAGACTTCCATCTGGTCCAACCCCCTCGTTTTACAGAGGAGGCAACTAAGGCCCAAAGAGAAGTGATTTGCATGTAGTCACATTGGCACTTGGCAAAGCCGGTACTCGCACCCAAGACTTTTGACTCAAGGTCCAGTGCTTTGCACTCCACTAGGAGCTGGAGGACCTTCTTTAGGGAGCTTACTTATTAAATACAGACAGGAAGATGAAGGGAATCTGGTAGGAGTCTTCTAAGGGAGAAGGGATGGAAAGGAAGGAAAGAGAAGGGAGTCAGGCTAGGGATGGATGGGGGTGTGTGTGTATGTGTGTGTGTGTGTGTGTGTGTGTGTGTGTGTGTGTGCTCACAAACAAGCCAGAGGCAGTGGGATAGGGTCCAACCCAGTCAATCTGACAGCCTTTGGAGAGAGCCTTATGCCTGGTGGCAGTCATACTAAATTTTATCTCCCATCCCTATACCTCCCCTCTCTCCTGTAGACCGGGTGGCTCTATCTGAAATACCTCGGAGTTCCACAGTGAGTTGCAATGGGCAGAGAAAAGGGCAGGGCTCCAAGGGGCTGTGTGCTCAGCTCCAGACATGGGGGGCAAAAAGGGAAGTATGTTCTGGGGCTAGGCTGAGAGAGGTTTTTTTAATCTGCTTCACTTGGTGCCATCTGCTTCCTCATCTAATTTTAGCATCAGCTCGGCCTGGTGAGGAGTCGGGGAGGGCTCAGCTGGGCCAGGGGTGGGGGGGCAGGCTGGGACTGCTAGGCAGTAGACCTTGATGGCCTGGGGTGGTTGGGGATCTTGACAGAATGGAGTCCTCATGGCACTGGGCCATGAGGTGGCATTGAGAATAGTCAGGAGGACAAGGGGACAGCGTGAGGAATGTCCTAGGATGAGGGATGGAGCTAGGGGCCATTGGGGAAGTCACCCTGAAGAGGAGTCGATGGAAGGCTAGATTGTATGAGGGGAGGTCTTGGGAGAAAGACAAATGGAGTCAGGGAGAGTAGAAGAGTTTTGGGGGGTAGAATGTGGGAAATGGGCCAGAGGTGGAAATGGGAGGATTCCTGCTCCCCATCTCATGGCCTGGCCCCTGACCCCTGCTGAGCACTGCCTTTGGGAGAGTAATTGGATAATCGGGGTGGGTGGGCAGGCATGGGGTACTAATTGCTATGTACTTGGGATCCTGGGGCCAGTGCCGGCCGAGCTGGGTAATTAGTTGTTTTTAAATAAACGTCAGCGGGCACGCTTTAATTAAGCCTTCTTCCCAGTGAGAGCTGCTGATATGTAATCACTGAGAGAGGAAGATCCTGACAGAACTGGGGAGACCCAAGGGCCAGGGTGTGGTGTGATGGGCACCAGAGGGCACGAGAGATTCCTGTCCTGGTGGAGAGACCAGGTTCAGGGCCAGCACCCGACCCTCAGTAGGACGGCAGAAAGGCCCAGCCAATGGACAGAGGGCTCTCCCTCCACTGCACCCTCTCCTCCATAGTCTGAGTGTTAGGGAAGTGGGATCCTCGGGCCACTCTCCTTACCGCAGCCTTCCCCAGCCCCATTCCCTACCTTGCGTGGCTGAGGTAACCAGGACAGCAGTGACACAGAGACTCCAGAGGGCAGGGGCCAGGCGGGCCATGGCTGAGAACAGGTGGGCATAGGGGGCCTTGCCCCGCATCACCAGGTGAACAGGATGACACAGACAGACAGCCTAGGAGAAGAGGAGGGGACAAAGTGAGGAGGAAAGATTCCCTCTAGCCACCCAGCCAGGGTGCCTGGGGTAGGGGAAGAGTGAGAGATGGTGCAGAAATACAGACTCACCATAGGCACAGTCAGACAGGGACACACACACACACATCACCACAGAGAGGCACAGGCACACACACAGACACTCAGGCACCCAAGCACACACCTACAAGCCTAGATACAGTCATACACAGACACCCAGGCATAGACACATAAAGATACAGGCAGGGGCACACAGGCACAGTGAGAGATGGTGCAGAAATACAGATTCGCCATAGGCACAGTCAGACAGGGACACACACACACACACACACACATCGCCACAGAGAGGCACAGGCACAGGTGCACACACAGACATATATGCAGAAACAGATACACAGAAATAGGCTCAGTCACAATCACAAAGATGCATTCATATGTGCATACAGATATGCACAGAGAAATAGGCACACACAGGCAGAGACATATGTGCCAGGGCACAGTCACATATGCAAACACAGACAGACGCAGGAACGGTCACACACAGACATCCCAGCATAGAGATACAGTGAGTCATACAAAGAGCACAGACACAGACACACAGAGGCAGAATCACATAGAGACAAAGACACACGGAAAGGAACATTGGCATAATCAACTCCTCATTCTCTCTCTCTCTCTCTCTCTCTCTCTCTCTGTCACACACACACACACACACACACACACACACACACACACACACAAAATCTTAACTCCTTCCAAGGGTTCCTACCCTTCCTGACACCCTCCTTCTACAGCCCCCACCTGGTCTCCCCTTCCCCTTTTTCAGGCTGATGAACTTGTTTCTGGCCTTGCAGCGTTGCCCACATCCATGATCTCTTAACTGCACAGAGTTCTTGGCAATGCTTCTGGTCCCGCCCCTTGGAATCTTTCCTTCTCATCCCCACCCGTGAGCTGGGTCATGCCAGCCAGGCTCAGCACCTTCTTAGAACTAGCTGCACCAAGGGAGGAGGGAGACATGCCTTCTCTCACAGAGTCCAGGATCTGACTCCCCCTAACATATATCCACAGGGGTGGCACACACACCAGGCACACATTCATCTCAGTGTCCCCAAGGAAGAGAAGCCCAGAATTCTACCTTCCAGCCCTATTCCCTGAACTGGAGCCCTCTGGGGATTTCTCCCCTAGTGCGGCAGCAACACGCTGGGACATCAGGCTGGCCGCCCACAGTGACATCAGAGCTTTCAGCTCATGGCCTGACTTCAGGTTTTATGGTCTGGGTGACCCATCATCTCACCACCACCCCAATATCCCTGTGAAGCCCGGTACTCTTCCCCCAGTTAGCACGGGGATGGGCAGAATCATAGAAGTGTGGAATTGGAGAGGACATCAGAAACACGTTTGGCCTAATCCGTATCTCAACAAGAATGCCCTCTACCAAGTAACCAACAAGTGGTTATCAAATGTCTGCCGTCAGATCTGAAAAGATCCAATCGACGGAAAACACACTACTCTTACTTACATCACAAGGCTATCATTGTCGGGAAGCATACAGTGAGAGGCAGCTGGGTAATGCCGTGTGGATAGAGTGCTGGACCCGAAGTCAGGAAGACCTGAGTTCAAATCCAGACTCAGACATTTCTAAGCTGTGTGACTTTCTCAGCCTTAATTTCGCATCTGTAAAATGGAGATGATAATAGCACCCACCTTCCAGGGATGTTGTGAGGACCAAATGAAATAATACCTAAAGTGCTTCACAAACCTTAAAGTGCTATATAAATGCTAGCTATTATTAAATGTTTGTTGATAGACTCCATTGGAGGGGTAGGCCCCCCAGTCCCTGGAAGCAAGCCCACTCTTCCCTTCTCCCACTCGTCTTCCTCCTCACCAGCTCTCTTTGTGGCTGCTCCTCCCCACATCTGCTGCCACCCTCACCTGAACCTCCTTCCCCTTTCTTTGGTCTCCATCGTGGTCAAACCGGCCTGCTAGCTTGTCCTCGTCCCTGACATCCATCACGCTTCCATCTTGTTGTCTGGAATGCCGTCCCTTCTCGCCTCTGCCTCCCAGAATCCCGAGCTCTCCCACACCAGCCCTTTCCTGACCTTCCCTCCCCCGCCACGTTATTCATTTTTCTCCCTCTTGGAATTATTTTCTGGTCTTTTGTATATATGTCGTACTCACTTACTTGTGTACATGTTGTATCCCCCTATAAAAGGCCAGCACTTTGAGGGCAGGGTTAGGTCCAGCTTTGTCTTGGTACACTCAGCTCCTAGCACATGGCCCTGCTCGCTGCATTGGAATGAACCTTCTCTTTCCCTTCAGACCCCCTCCACACTCCTTTGCCTGTCTCCTCATTTAGACTCTTCCCCCAGCAAGGAAAGGATTGCCTGTGGGAGGGGACCCAGGTATCTTAGCCCCAGTTAAGACTGAGGACTGAATTCCAGAGTGAGGGGCACAAGACTCTAAGCACTGATTCTCCATCCCTCCAAGCCCCAGGCATGAGCCCCCAGCCCCCTTGCTTCCTGCTCCCTAGCTCCCGTGGCTAATTAGAACCTGGCTGGCTGGCAGAGCAGTGGCGCCATGGATGTGGGACCAGGGATGCCTAAGTCCCCTCTTTCCCTTTGTGTGGACCCCCCGGGGCAGCCAGGAGCCTAGCTGTCGGGGACAGGGCACTTGTCTGTCTAGGGCTCTGGGGGGAAGTTGTAGATGTGGGAATAGAGAGAAAACAGTGCTTATCTTTGGGCTCCCCCAATTCTCCTGTTCTCTGGGGCGGGAAGCACTTCCAGGCCCAGGCTGAAGTTGGGGCTATGCATAAAACCCCTCTGTGAAAATACAGAAGGGAGGTAAAGGCAGGATGACGGGAGAAGGAAAGTGGAGCTGTGTCCTGTGTGGGCCAGGTGAAACCTGGACTCCTCCCAAAAGGAGCATAATCAGGGGCTGGGAAGGCTGCAGATACATCCTTCACACCACGGGTGGCCTCATCTATCTAGAAAGTCCTTTTGCTTGTTTTATCCACCCCACAATCCAACGCATAACAGTCTTTCAGTGCCCCCTCCCCATTTCCCCACGAAGGCAGAAGAGGGCTTAGACATTTAGAGGATCACACATCTGGGGTGGGAAGAACTTCACAGGCTATCTAATCTAACCCTCTCATTTTACAGATAGGGAAACTGAGTCCCAGGAAGGTTGTGAATAAACGTTAGCTATCATCATCATCCTTAATTATTACTATTATTATTTAACAAGGAGCAACAGAACATTTCCAACTCTGATCTCCCAAATTTTGTGTGCTCTCCCCTCCGCCATGCAGCTCAAACACTGAAGTTCAGCATTCTAGGCCCTGCTGAGCTCCTGCATCCTACAGTCCCAGAACCCTAGAATTTCAGAGCTAGGATGGACCTCAAAGGTTACAACACAACCTGTGCCAGAGAAGAATTCTTAGCTAGGCAGGAGCTCTTCACTGCTCTCTTCCCCTGCCCCAATCCCACCCTAAATCATGGGCATTCCCACCTATACTTTTATCCACATTGGACCACAAGTCCAGAATGTCCAGGGGCCAGGTGGGTAGCTGGCAGAGCACTGGATAGATCATTGGGCCTGAAGTCAGGGAGACCTGAGTTCAAATCTGGCCTCAGACACTAACTAGCTGTGTGTCCCTGGAGAAGTCACTTAACCTCAAGTTAAGCCTCAGTTTTCTCAACTGTAAAATGGGGATAATAATTGCACTTAGCCCACAGGGTTGTTGTGAGGACCAAGTGAGATAATATTTGTAAAAAGCATTTAGCACAGTGCCTGGCAGATTGTAGGTGCTAGATAGATGTTTATCCCGTTCCCTCCCTTCTTTCCACCACCCCTAGGCCACTTCCAGGACCACAGGCTTGAGGAAGCCTTCCCTGACCAACTCAGTCTGCAGTGACCTTGGGCCTCCCTTGGGCCCCAAACAGTCTGAATCCATACAACCCAACTTACGATCATGCCTTCTCGTATTGCTTTTGTTATCGTATGTCTGTCTGTCTTGTCTAATGAAATGTGTGCAAAACTTCTCCAGGGCACAGACTGATCCTCTCTTGGTGCAATGGAAAGTGACCCTCCCTGGGCTCCAGTCCTGGTTCTGGCACAAATAAGTTGGATATGAAATATTGTACAGACCGTCTTTCCCGGGGGCAACTAGGTGGTGCAGCGGATGGAGCACTGGCGCTGAAGTCAGGAGGACCTGAGTTCAAATCTGGCCTTAGACCAAACACTTGACACTTACTAGCTATGTGACCCTGGGCAAGTCACTTAACCCCAACTGCCTAAAAACAAACAAAAAAACCCAAACAGACTATCTTTCCCTCTTTAGACCTGAGTAGCTCTATCAACAAAGAATGAAATGGTTGGACCGGATAGATCAAGGGTTCTTAACCTGGTGTCTGTGAACTTAAATTATTTTGATAACTATTATTTCAATATAATTGGATTCCTTTGTAATCCTGTGGATTTTATTTTATGCATTTAAAAACATTCATCTGAGAAGGGATCCCTAGGCCTCACCAGATTGACTGCCAAAGGGGTCCATGTCTACACAGAGAGGTGGAGGGAATCTCTAAGGCTTGTGGTTCTGGCATTCAGTGTTCCTGTCCACAATAGCACCTGTCATTTACTCAGTTTCTTAACGTTTACAAAGCACTTTGCCTATTATTTCATCTCATCTTCCCCCAAACCCCATGAGACAAGGACTACTGGCATTATTATCTTCATTTCACCAATGAAGACACTCAGAAATATTACGTGACTTGCCCGTGGCCATGCAGTCATTTGGGATCAGTGGCAGAATTTAGAATACAGAAGTACAGAAATCCATCCTGCCCTACAGGAAAATAGAAGGGGAAGAGGATAAGAGAAGGGGGGAGAGATAGAAGGGAGGACAGATTAGGGGAAGGGGTATTCAGAATGCATGCCATCTTGGGGTGGGGGAGGGGCGAGATGGGGAGAAAATTTGGAACT